GACTTTTTGCAACATACTATACTATGACTTTTTAGCACTTTTTCAGACATACTATACTATGACTTTTGGAGCACTTTTTTCGACATACTATACTATGACTTTTGGAACATTTTTCTTCAACATACTATACTATGACTTTTTAGCACTTTTTCAGACATACTATACTATGACTTTTGGAGCATTTTTTTTCGACATACGATACTACGACTTTTTAGCACTTTTTCCGACATATTATACTATGACTTTTTGCAACATACTATACTATGGCTTTTTAAGCATTTTTCTCGACATACTATACTATGACTTTTGGAGCATTTTTTTAGACATACTATACTATGACTTTTGAAGCATTTTTTTAGACATACTATACTACGACTTTTTAGCACTTTTTCCGACATACTATACTATGACTTTTTGCAACATACTATACTATGACTTTTTAGCACTTTTTCCGACATACTATACTATGACTTTTGGAGCACTTTTTTCGACATACTATACTATGACTTTTGGAGCATTTTTCTTCAACATACTATACTATCACTTTTTTTCACCATACTATACTATGGCTTTTTAAGCACGTTTTCAAATTCTGTGCTATGACTTTTTTTCTACATACTATACTATGACTTTTCTAGCACTTTTTAGACTATGTTTTTTCCCCTTTTAACATACTACTGTATAATATGACTTCTTTTCAACATACTATATTATGACTTTTTTCGACATACAATGCTATGTTTTTACATACTATCCTGTGATGTTTTAAACACTTTTTTGACATATTATACTACGTCAGTTTTTGACATACAACCCTATGACTTTTCTGTCAGTTTTTTGGACGTTATACTATAACGTTTTGAGCAGTTATTTCGACAAACTGTACTAGGACGGATTTAGCAGGGTTTTTTGGACACACTATACTATGACATATTATACTATGTCGTTTTATGACATACTATACTGTGATGTTGTAAACACTTTTTAGACATTCTATACCATGACATATTATACTATGTCATTTGATGACATACTATACTATGATGTTGTAAACACTTTTTGGACATTCTATACTATGACATTTTTTAACAATTTTTCGACGTACTATACTATGACAGTTTTTGACATGTTACACTATAATGATTTTTCAGTTTTTTCAACATGCTATACTATCACTTTTTTCGCATTTTTTTCGACATACTGTACTATTGTACTATATTACTGACACACTGTAGTATAACATCTTTGTAAGTTTTCTTGACATGCTCTACTGTGACATTTTTTTTTTTACATACTATCCTATGATGTTTTTCGAAATACTATACAATGACTTTTTCTACATACTATACTGTGATGTCATGAGCAGTTTTTTCGACATTCTATACTAAAACACTTTAAACACTTTTTTCCACACACACGCAATCATGACGTTTTTGTCAGTTCTTTTGAAATACTATACTATGATGTTTTTAGCAGTTTATTCAACATTCTATACTATGATGTTTCTTTCTTCAACATAGTATACGATGACGTTTGTAACACTTTGTAACAACGTAGTGTACTATTACTTATTTTAGTTTTTTTTGGCACACTATTGTATTATGATTTTAGCAGTTTTTTTGACTTACCATACCTTGACATGCATGACAGCTTTTTTGACATACTATACTATGACTTTTTTGTCTGTTTTTTTTTTTTTTTTTTTTTTTTACATACTATGCTATTAAGTTTTTGTCTGATTTTTTTCAACATACTATACAATGACTTTTTCGACATGCTGTACTAAGACTTTTTTGGCAGTTTTTTTCGACATACTGTACTATGACTTTTTAGCGTTTGTTTTTTTATACATAGTATATCATGGCAATTTTTAACTCTTTTTCGGCATATATTATGACGATTTTCTTTACAATGCAATTACGTTTTTAACACTTTTTAGGACATACGATGCTACAATGTTTTTTGTTTTTGTCAGTTTTTTCGACATACTACACTAGGGCTCAACATTTTTTTGACATACTATACTATTTCATTTTTTGAAATACTTTACTGTGAATTTTTAACAGTTAAACTGACATACTTTTTTTTTTAATTCAACAATATAAAATTATTTTGCCTTTCAGGTGGGAAGTACTTGTCCGTTCCAGAGTTGAAAGCGGGACAAAGGAGCATCCGTGGTGCTAGATTAGCCATCCAAATAGTCCCGCCCTGGAGCCACGGCGACCTATGTTTCTCCTTCTCCCATTGGCTGACAGGACATCATGTGGGCGTGCTGCAGCTGTTCATCAGGAAAAAGGGACGAGACCAAAGGTATCATAGCCAGTTATATCTTCACATTATTCCATTTACAGTTAATTATTTTATCTAACATGACTAAAATGACTTCTGTGTGACCACCTGGCTGTTGCAGGTACGGCTCTGCCCTCTGGAGCAGGACAGGTGGACACGGCTGGAGACACACACAGGTGACCTTGACGACACACTATCTGGACAAGGTGAGACACACACACACACACACACACACACACACACACACACACACACTCGAATTATTTTGGGTTTGTGTGAGTATCTGTGTTGTTGTTGATGACAGGTGTGTGTGTGTGTGTGTGTGTGTGTGTGCGTGCGTGCGTGCGTGCAGGTGTTGTTGAAGGCCGAGCGGAGGAAAGGACGGCGAGGACAAATTGCTGTTGATGATGTCACTCTGAGACAGGGGGCATGTCGATGACATCATGGCGGTATGAGGACACTGAGCAGTCGTTGCACAGTGGACGGTTTTTCATTTAACACTGAACTTCAAACTGAATTGAACATAAAAATAATTCAAAGGACTGTCGTGCCGTTTTTTTCCTGTTTAATAGAAACTATCTTTAAAATAATAAACTGTTTGTCATGAATTTCCTGCCTTATTTGTTGAACCGTCTGTTTCGGAGATATAGAAAGACACTTTTGAATTTTGGTTTTTGTTGTAATTTGTGTTGAAGTAGCGGGAGCTTAAACTGAAGCCCCGACAGACTGACTAAATGAACACCAGCAGTTTGTGTGTGTCATTATTTCCTCTGGGTTCAAACTGAACACTCGGTCAAACATTCACTGCAAACTGAACTTTGTTTCTGTGTTAAATATTCTCAGAAGAGTTTTACTTTTTAACCTGAACACGAGGTTGGTTTGGTTTGTTTGGTCCTTTTGTTTGTAGTGAGAAGAATCGATGCTCAGGGAGTCGACTGGTCTAAAAACATGGAGACTAATAAAGCTAGTCACTCTCTGCTCTTAATTAACTTTTTAAGACTTTTTTACTTGTGTGTAAATATCTTATGAAAAGACCAGATGAGTCATATTGTCATAAATCTTATATATGGTCAGTTTATCAGGTTTTGTAAATATATGTCTTGTGTATTGACACATATCGTTTGTATTGATAAAGTTAATTAATTTGTGATATTTTAAATAAAGTACCTGCCTCTTTTTCATTTTTATTTTTTGTTCATTAGAAGAAGAGTACTTACTGTGGCTGATTTTGGTCCCACTCACATTGTCTGAGGGACAGGTGACATCACATCCTGTTGATAAAGAGAAGAGGAACAATTATTATATGAACACATCTTGTTACTTACGGTTTTATCTATATTAGACGAGGGCTGCAGCCAGCGGTTGTTTTTATCATCGATTCATCTGTTGAGACATCAGTTAAGCCTTGTTTCCACCGAGCAGTTCAGTTCATTGTTTCTGTCTCCACAGTGAAAGTTGTGGATGGTCCCAACAGAAGCGTTCCTTAGCGTCCCCATGTTTGGTCCCCCCTCTGTTGGGGTACCTAGCACACAGATCTGGTACTAAAAGGTGGAGCTAGAAACCCTGCAGTCTGATTGGTCAGTAGAGGACGTTCACTCTGGTTTTATGTAACCTCTGTTCATACATCAGTAAACTACAACTATAAAATGAAAGAGAAAAAAATAACTTCATTCACTGGGCCGACTGCCGGCAACTTTTAAGGTGGAACGTTAACTTGTAATGTTACTCAATGCATGAGTTGATGACGTGAATCCATCAGCACACCTTAAATTTCACTGTGACAACTTTGACCATCACTTTAGTTTTTATATGACACACACTTTTAGTAATGACTTTAAAAATATAGATTAATTTGGAGCGGATTATGTGAAGGTCCCACCTGTCAAATTATGACTGGAAGACAAGTATAACGTTCTCACCTGGACAGAATACAGTTCTCGCTCCTTAAGAAACTTAAAACAGGATTTGAAATCAAATGAATAAAAACATAAAGGAATAAATAAACAAATAGAGAAATGGTTAAAAACAACTACAGAGGTTTGGACCTCCTACCTCATTAATATACAGACACAAAAATTAATGAATAAATATCTGATTCTGTAAAGCACTTTGAAACTGTTTATAAAAGTGCTAAACAAATTAAGTTTGTTAATATTAGTATTAGTTGAACAAAAATGTAGAATCAAATTTAAGATATTTATTTATGTCCTCTTTAATAATAAACTTTAGTTATTTATGCGCGTATGGATTTATTTTCATATTTATTTCAACCTAATTTGAGCACTTATTTATTATTTTAATTGTTAAAGCAAACGATGTGAGGAGTTGACCGCCGAGAATATTTTTGACCAGTTACACGTCAGTCTATCGGTTAATTTTGCTACTCATTAGTTTACTGCACTGTGCAACCCCTGGGTCAGGTGAAATCTAGCTAGCGGCGCCGCTCATTTAGCCATGACTAGGAGTAACACCGCCCCGGCACAACAATGTCCTTGTTAAAACATCATGCCCGCCCTCTGGTCTCCCCTCACATCACCACAATGAGAAAGCAGCTGCATTTTGAGCCACACACTCCGTTTAGCATTGTCAACCTTGTTAGCATTGTTAGCTCTGTTAGCACCATTAGTCTGCATGGCTGTTGGTGCTAACAGAGTTAGTTGTGGGAGGGTCCAGTGTGCGGCCATCTTCTCTTCAATATGAGTACGTACACTTCGCAAATGACTCTTCCTGATTCCAGACTGAAGTATCTGTTCGTCAACAGTTGGGTGGATTATTTATCGTGAGGTTTGGTTCATGTTCCCCTCGGGATGAATTCTAATAACTTTGGTTAATCTGTAAAGTAACTAAAGCTGTCAGACAAATGTAGTGCAGTAAAAAGTAGAGTATATCCAAGCACCACAAGTGCACTTCAGTAAGGGAACATACTGCAGGTACCTTGTATTTGGAATCTGATGATCCGGGTCCCTCAGATTGTCCTAATGCAGACTAGTGCTCCTCACCCTCCTCTTCCTCATCCTCACCCTCCTCTTCCTCATCCTCACCCTCACCCTCCTCTTCCTCAGAGTGGCCCGAGATGTCCCAGCTCCCCGAGTCCTCCACATCTGAATAGAAAAAAAGAAAAAAAAGTGAAAGAGTCGACATTATTATAACACTTAAAGTAACCAATTAAAAAAAATGTAAAAATTGTTGTCCTTTCATATTGCACCAACCTTTCCTCGAGCACTGAATCACACATCTGATGATCATAACAAGATGTGACTAAAAAATCAAGTTAAAGTCGTCTTGTTGATGTGTTCAGAGAAGTCTTTAAACTGTATGGAAGCGTATTGCATTCACTTGACAAATAAAAAAAAAAATCTGTTTTATTGAATCATTTTTTTCTGTTTTTCGGTGTATTTTTTTTCTGTTTTTCGGTGTAATTTTTTTTCTGTTTTTCAGGGTATTTTGTTTTCTGTTTTTCGGTGTAATTGTTTTTCTGTTTTTCGGTGTAATTTTTTTTCTGTTTTTCGGGGTAATTTTTTTTCGGTTTTCGGTGTAATTTGTTTTCTGTTTTTCGGGGTAATTTTTTTTCTGTTTTTTGGGGTAAATTTTTTTCTGTTTTTCAGGGTAATTTTTTTTTGTTTTTCAAGGTAATTTTTTTTCGGTTTTCAGGGTAATTTTTTTTTCTGTTTTTCGGTGTATTTTTTTTCGGTTTTTCGGTGTAATTTTTTTCTGTTTTTCAGGGTATTTTGTTTTCTGTTTTTCGGTGTAATTGTTTTTCTGTTTTTCGGGGTAATTTTTTTTGGTTTTCGGTGTAATTTTTTTTCCGTTTTTCAGGGTAATTTTTTTTCTGTTTTTCGGTGTAATTTTTTTTCTGTTTTTCAGGGTAATTTTTTTTTGTTTTTCAGGGTAATTTTTTTTCGGTTTTCAGGGTAATTTTTTTTCAGTTTTTTGGTGTAATTTTTTTTCTGTTTTTCAGGGTAATTTTTTTTTCTGTTTTTCGGGGTAATTTTTTTGAGTTAAGACAGCAATAGAACAACAGACGCTTTCATTCCTTTCTTGAGAGCTCGATATAATGAAAGCAAACATGACCCGCTTGTTTAGTTTAATCCAGTTTTACTTTGTTTTGGGTTTGAGACACTGGGAGATACTCTTGTCTTTTATCGAGCTCTCAAGAAAGGAATGAAAGCGTCTGTTGTTCTATTGCTCACTTAACTCAGAAAAAATTACCCTGAAAAACAGAAAAAAATACTCAATAAAACAGATTTTTTTTATTTGTCAAGTGAATGCAATATGCTTCCGTAAAACTGTGTTGTTTTGCGTGTATCTTTTTTTTTTTTTGGTTCATTTTAATTTTAGGTAGCCTTGTGTATCATCTGAACCGAGGGACTACAGATGAAAAATAGCCTTTTGGCAAAGACTGGCGTTTTTATACTATGTGTGTATTCAAACTCGTCTTATATTTTAATCTGTGAAGGAACTAAAACTGTCGGATACATTAAGACTCAAGTAAAGTACAAGCTCTTCTGATGTGTACTGGTCCTTGAGTAAATATACTTAGTTACACTTTAAACACGTCAGACTGGGCGACATCATTATACAATAATAATTATAAAATTGACCCAGTGACCTTTAACCTCTTCAGCATCACCTGCAGGGAGAAAGAGAGAGGAAGAGGAAGAGGAAGAGGAGGGTGTGTTTAACATCTGCTTTAGAGCGAGCACGCACGCACGCACACACACACACACACACACACACACACACACACACACACACAGTAAAGTAAATCACAGGTTTCCGTCCTCACGTTGTAAACTGAGGAATCTGTCGAGCTCACAGTGTGTGTGTGTGTGTGTGTGTGTGTGTGGTTACAGCCCTGCTCGTTAACCCTGTAATCACCACAGTAACCTCTGCACTCTCTCTGTCTGAACACCAGCAGCTCCGTCAACATGTGGACGTTTGACTGTCACAGTTATTTTCAGGGTCATTAACTCGACTGAGAGCTGAAACAGAAAATAATCAGCAGCTGGACCTTTAACTGGGACAGGCCTTTAACTCCTGTCACACAAAACTGTTGCTCAGCAAAGATGGTGAATACAATCAGATTGTTTATTTAAACTAGTCTGAATGTTCCTTTACTGTTCTTTGCTTATTACGTCTGTATATAACTAACAGACTTCATCACTTCCTGTTTTTCTTGATTGATTGCTCTGCAGCTGATGAAACGAGGCCGCCCTCTGCTGGAAGACCAGTGTACCAACAGTGACCCACTGACACACATGCACACACTATCACAACTTTATAATAACCAAACTGGTAAATTATTCAGGCCAGAGGTGGAAAAAACAACAAATATTAAAGAGGGAGTCTCCATGTTTTCATCATGGATTATTTTTCCAATACATTGATTAATGGTTTTAGAGCTGAAGTCATTCATCTGTTGAATTTTCCATAAAAGCCTTTTTTTAACTGCTCATTGTGGTTTTGGTTCATTTTGAAGTCAAAAGTATGGAAACATATTTGGTGCCTAAATGTACTTCGAATAACACAAGAAAATATTTTTTAAAAAAAACAAAACTTTTTTTTAAGTGTAATTCATAACCTGATTGGGCCAGGTCCTGGCTGGACCATAACTTCTCCACACACACACCCCCGGCCTGTAACAGGTCAGGTCACTGCCAATTTCCTGTTGAGTGTTTGATATCCACATGAATTAATTAACGATTATATTTTTCTGTCACTGTGCCGCTCTGACAGCGTCTAATTCTGCCCCGGATTTCTGAACGGTCCAGTTTGTGCTAGAGTGCTCTGGTGCTCAGGGTGACTAGTTACGAACGCACCTTGTGTCACAAAAATGGGCGGAGAAAAAAAATTGATACAGCACAGTATTGCAGTATTTTGCCAGGCAATATTGTATCAATACACCAACACCAAGTACTGATGTTTTAAATATATAATCTAGTGACGTCAATTAAACTCTTCAGTTTAGTAGCAGTTCTACTACTATACTATACTTTACCACAACAAAGCTAGTGAGGTTTTCATGCTACGCTGGTTAGCTGCTGCCGCTGCTGCGTAGCTAGTGTTGCCACTCATTTAGCGATTACTGCTACTAAAGAAGTCCTGACCCAACAGTGTTGCTGCAGAAACACTGTGCGCCACCCTCTGGTCTCTCCCAGGTCAGAGG